CTTAGGGGGAAGGTTGTTTTAYTGGTTCCTGGTTGATGTTCCTGGAAAGCATCCAGCAGACAGATGGGGACCATTTCTGTTTCACTTGCACAAGATCCAATTGACCTGCTGGGGAAGAGCCTCTGAAGGTTCCAGAATTCCAGGCAGGCTTCAGACTCTGCCATCAGCCAGGGCTGGCATCAACCTCAGAGTGAAGCCACCTTTATTTTTTACTGTTCCTGAAGGCAGGACAGGTTCTCAGCTACCTGCAAACAATTTGCTTCACTTGAAACACRTATTTAAAGGGAATTTCCAAACTGATGGGGTAAGGTACAGCTCCTGGTGTTTATCAGGACATCACCATGCCTTACTTGYTACTCCAGTGCCTTGTTTCACCATCTGACTTTCCCAGGTTTGGAAGTGTCTACATTTTCCTGTCACCACTATCCACCACAAGCTTATTAGCTTGGCCACCATTAGCCAACGGGAGGGTTTGGTAGATTTTGTCCCTTCTCTTTGGCCCTAAGATGTGCCAAAGTCTGCCAGACTGTGATCAGTGTCCCCCCTGTAAGTTTTTTGCATGAGTCCTTCACAAACAYATGGTCCTGACTCTGTCCCCCAGCTGAATGTCCCCCATTTCCCCATTTTGCAGCCCTACGAGGGGTTCACTTCACGTTGATCTTAGCCCACCACCTTYCCACACTCAGGTTATTTTATTTCTGCTTCTGAGTTCAGCGGTGTTTTTGCATGGCCCCTGTCTCTCTCACTTTACTTATGTTAGGTATACTCTCTGAGGTGGAAGTTCTCTTTTCCTGTTCCTTGCTGTGTGAGACACGGAGCTGCACTGCCTGCTGCCTGGCCCAATGCACTGCTGAAACCCATGATTCAAGGACTTGGCACATTCCTCAGCCTCTCAGGGCATCTTTGGCTTCCCACTAAACACAGCTATGATTCCTGGCTCAGGAATTCTCTGCCCTGCAGGCCAACAGGACCTGGGAACTTGCATTATGTGCATGCTCTGTCTGCTCCTCCCGAAGCATCTCCTCCTGGACTCCAGGACAGCAGGACCTTTGGTCTGACCCAGCTCAGGTTTTTATGTGCTTGCATTTCACTTTTTCCCCAGTCTCAATCTGGTCATACCCTAACTGAAAAATCCATTAATAGGTCAATGTCCAATTTCCCCTGGTTGAACACCTTGTTATTCGACCAAAATAATCCAGATCCTTCAGCTGAATTCTTCTTGTCCCCCACTTTGTGGCAAATAGCTGACCATCTCTCTCTAATTTGATAGCTGATTCTAGTCATACAGCCAGTCCAGATAATTTAAYCTCTTTTCCTGAAGGCAAGTGCTCACTGACATAAGAACTGACCCCATCAAATTGGCTCCTAGGCCTTCCATTTCAGAGCCATTCCCTTATGCYGTGGTTATGGACTGAGCTGAACAAATCTCTCAGATGTATTTTCCTCAAACACCGTGTTTTTTGCACTGATTCAGCTGGGATAAATAGTCTGATTCCTTCCTCCTGGAGACTGGAAATGCTGGTGGATACTGGTGGTAGGCARTGTGCTGGCCAGCTCTTGTCTGCAGCAGGAGGCTGTTTTTTCCTGTGGTGACCTGCCAGCTTTTTATTTCCTTTTCTGACTGATTTTCTCAGTTTCTTAACTYCTTGCTATGGTTCATCTTGGCTTATAAATTGGCCAATGCTTTTGTTGCACCTCTTATTTTCCAGAAAACATTATTTTGCATGATACTCATGCTGCTGATCCCCCCTTTGATCCCTCCTACCCCTTTAAACTGGGAATCTTCCAGGAGAATTTCACACTCTCTCTGGACACTGAAGTCTTTTATCCTTGTCTGCAGGTGACCTCTTATAAAACTCTCTTAGAAGTTTCCAGATGTTGCTTGAACTCCTTTTGCAAAGTCTCCAGCTGTCTCAGCTCATGTTTTGTATCTTTGGTAATTTTCAATTTCCGTTCTTGGTTCCAAAGGAATCCCAGAATTAGAACTTCTCATAGAAGCTGAGTCTCACCCCGGACATCCTTTCCATAATTTGAAGGTTGTTCCAGAGAGGATGAAGCTGGCAAAGAAATTCTACAAGAATGCTCCAGGTGTTCCACAAGGAGGTTGCTCCAGAAATACTCACTCCCCACCCTTGCTCCCCACCCCATCTGTTAGTTACAGAAACCCTGCAAAGCTCTGCTTTCTTGCCCATGGGAGGAGGAATCACCTGCAGGGAACTGTCTTTTTTTTTTTTTTTTCAGAATTCAAGTTCCCTTTGAGTCAGCAACCCCCCCAAAAGGTCTCCATGTCCTTTATTTCAGGGTAAAGCTTTTTCTTTTACATGGCTTGTGCCTCCAGTTTTCTTGATGCTTTGTCAAGGACCAGTCCAGTCAGGAGGAGAGGAATTTCACGCTGAAACTGCTTGTTCATCTCTGCTGACTACCAAGAGAGCCTGTAGCTCCACCTCAGATGTCCAGCATGGATACCCAATTTGGGACAACCAATGTGTCCTTGATGAGCAGGTTTCCCTTGCAGTCTGTGGTCCCTCTTCCYGAGAGAGATGCTCTATATAGTCCAGGYTTACCCGAGRAAATGTGCCAGGGAGATTAAGGTTGGATATTARGGAAAAGTTCTTCCCYCAGAAGTTGGTCGAGCACTGGAACAGGCTCCCCAGGGAAGTGACCACGACCCCAAGGCTGCCAGAGCTTTGTTTGGACAATGCTCTCAGGCACATGGTGAGATTGTTGGAGTGTCCTGTGCAGGGCCTGGAGTTGGAATCCATGATCCATGTGAGTTGCTTCCAACTCAAAACATTCTATGACTCCATGAACACATCCAAGTTTGCTTTCCTGAGCAGCAGCAGATTCTTCCAGCCACCTCCGTAGCAGTACACAAGCCTTTCCTCCCGACTTCCCCCAACCCCCCCAAAAAGGTATGGGCACATGCACCTATGTATATTATCTATTTTTGTCCTCGGTTTAGCTTCACGGACAWTGTGGAAATGCCATCAAGTTAACAGGGAGGGAGCTGTACAAACCCGCAGTGCCGCTTACTGCTTGCCAAGCGGGAGCCTCAAACACCTCATCAGAGCCTTCGCTGCTCCTAAAACCTCATTCGCACTTTACATACGGGCAGTGCGGCTCGGCAGCCCCCCCGCACGCAAAAATCWCGAGTTGCCCTCCTGTCCAGATTACCTGTAAAGCACGATCTCTAGACAGGAAAGATGTGAGGTTCCCGTCTCCGTTTTGGCTGACGGGGGCGTGTTTTGTGTTTATTGGGGTAATTCCCGCGCCTCCCCCGCCGCCGGATTCTGTGGGAGCCCGGGTTTAGAGGTCACGCACCTCCAGGAGCCGGAGTCCGCGGAAGGGAGGGAGCAAAACTGAACCAAATGAAAAGCAAGCGGTCAGCGCTGGCGGCGGGGATAAACATATCACTATGAATCGCCTCAGCTGACACTTCCCGCCCGCGGTTCCCGCCGGGAATACCGGAGAGAAACCCKCCAGCCCGGCTCTGAGAGGGGGTGGTGGTGTGGAGAGTGTCCACTTCCCCCGCCCCGCACGTGGGGCTGGGGCCACTGCACTCCCCGCACACGCCGCACACCCCGCACGTTGCAGGGCCACACATGCCGCGCCGGCGTGCAGGCACGGCGCACACGCGGGGACACGCGGGGACACACACACCGGGACACGCATACGCGGGGACACGCACGCACAWCCAGCGCCTTTACACGGGGCACGGGATAGAAAAGTACCCCCTTCCCTTGGGCACCGGCACCCCCTCCTTCCGCTGGCAGGAGGGTCCTGGCGGGCCGCTCGGCAAAGGGCAGGGGGCGCGGGGCTGGAGGAGCTCGGCCCGCGGTAGCCCGAGCCGGGGGTGCCCRGTGCCGCTCGGTGCCGCCGCCTGCTAGCGGGGGACGGCGGGGCAGGGCCGCCCGGTGCAGCCCGGCGGCAATGATGTGGCAGCAGGTCGGGTCACGTTGCCGGCCCTGTGCTCGTACCAGTGTGAGACGGGATTAGGGAGGCGGCTGTCGGTGCCGCCGCCGCCGCCGGGGAGCGGGGGCTGCGCGGACGCGCCCGGCGCGCAGGGACGCGGCCGGGGGGGCGGAGGGGGGTTCCCGCCCCGCCCCGTCCCGGGGCTGCCGCGGTCGGTCACGCTGCACCCGWGCAAATCCTTTGCCAATGTCACCCCCTGTGCCCCGCAAGGATGCGAACTGCCTCAGGGCAGCGTCAACAGCAGATGTGTTTATATTACAGATAGACGTATTTATATATATATATGTGCCTCTATACRTGAGTCCGCTTGTGTAGAAAGAGCGCTTCTGCCGCGGTCTGGCGTTGGAGGCAGATCCGGCTCCCGTCCAAAGGTCGGGAGGGAGAGCTGCTGGGAGCAGCGGCGGCCGGGCGGGAGCACCGGGGGACCAGAGCTGCGGCACGGCGGCGCCGGGTCAGGGAGCGCTCCGTGCAATAACACGAGTGTGCGCCTGTTTGTGCCCACGCATCCTATAGAACTCTCAGCAAACGTATGGCGAATGTGACCYCCTTAACCCCTCTCCCCAAGAGAGGGGCTCGATTATATCCCCCTTCTCCCGTTGGGCACGTTTTCCACGGGCGGGTCTCCTCCCCAGCTGCAAATAAAAATATAAAAATACAATAGTAAAAGTAAAATTATTTTTTAAATTATTAAAAGTAGAAAAATCATAAAAATAATAAAAATACAGGCAGTAGTCACGGCGGTAACGCTGATGATGACAGAAACAGCGGCAGTAGCAGTAACACGGGGGGAAGCCGCTCTCTCGCAGGGCGGCCCCGGGCGGGCGGCGGGACCCCCCCGTCCCCTCCCCGGTCCCGCCCCCGCCCGCGCCGC